GGCAAGTAGAAGATCACTGGTTCCTCTTCCAAGCATCTCAGCACACTCAGACATGCAGTTTCCAACTGGCTCATCCTAGTCCTGCAGTCAGCACCTGTGGTGAGAGGCTGCCCAAAGGCTCCTCTGCCCTGCCCAGCCCTGTGCTCCCTAATCACGTGTCCCAGGCACTGCCTGCCCTCCCTGCTCCAGTCTTTGAACCCCACTGGTCCTCTATCACTGGTTCCTCTTCCAAGCATCTCAGCACACTCAGACATGCAGTTTCCAACTGGCTCATCCTAGTCCTGCAGTCAGCACCTGTGGTGAGAGGCTGCCCAAAGGCTCCTCTGCCCTGCCCAGCCCTGTGCTCCCTAATCACGTGTCCCAGGCACTGCCTGCCCTCCCTGCTCCAGTCTTTGAACCCCACTGGTCCTCTGCTGCCAGCTCAGCTCACAAGTGCAGATGGGGGATGCATTTCCTGAGGACCTTCCTAACAATCCCACCCTGTGCCTGAGAACCTTGTCCAAGCACTTCTTGAGCTCTGTCAGGCTTGGGGGCTGTGACCAGTGCCCTGGGGAGTTGTTCCAGTGCCCAGCCACGCTCTGGAGGGAGAACCTTTTCCTGGTGTACCACCTAAACCTCCTCTGACACTGCTCCAGCCATTCCCTTGGCTCCTGTCAGTGGTCACCAAAGAGGTAAGAGCTGCCACTCCAAGTCTACTCATGAGGACGTTGTAGACAGCTATGAGGTCTACAACTGCCTCATGAGGGGAAACAGAGGGGCAGGCACCCATCTCCTCTCTGGTGACCAGTGCCAGGACCAGTGACAGGACTTCAGCCATGTGGGAAGACACTGTAGGGTTATCACAGGGTATAGGGCAGCACAAGATGTGACCCTCACTCTACCTGAAGCAGGAGTGGGAGGCACAAGTGTGGCATTCAAGACTATGTGGGTGACTTTGATCACTTTGTCGCATGTAAAGGACAGTCCCATCCAGTAGGACACCCACTGTCAGCCCCCCAAAAGGATACAAGTGCCACACACCTTTTCAGCCACCCCTTTCCCTGTGTGGGATCTCATTTGCCTTTGTACCCTGGGATGCTTTAGACAAAGTATTTCAGGCAGGTTGAGGGAGTTGCTCAGAATCATGAGGCCACACCGGGAGGATGGTGTCCAGTTCCAGGCCCCTCAGTGCAGGAGAGACATGGATATACTGGAGCAAGCCAAAGGAAAGGCCATGTGGCTGGTTAAGGGACTGGAACATAACACATGATGAAGGACTGGGAGCTGAGAAGAGCAGGCTCAGGGCAGGGGCAAGGGCTTATTAGTGTCTTTAAAACCCTGGAGGGAAGGTACGAGGAAGGAGGAGTCTTTCCAGTGCTGCCCATTGAAAGGATCAGAGGAAAGGGGCACAAAAACCAATGCAGAATGCTCCAGTGGAACCTCAGGAAATAATGCTCAGCTCTGAAGGTCACTAAGCACTGAAATACATGGACCACAGAGATACCTCCAAACCTGGAGATATCAAAAATCCATTTACATCTAAAGCAACTGGCTCTAGGTCAATCTGCTTGAGCAGGGGATAGGGACAGATAACCTCCAGAACTCTATTCCAAGCTTGAGAAATTAGAATTCTGTGATTTCCCATTCAACAGCTTATCTGGGTATCCCAGGAGCGAAGGAATTCAAGGAGACTCAAGATACAATGCAACATAAACTTTAATGAATATAAAGAGAGAGACAAAGCAGTGCATGTTGGAAGGGACCTAGTCCAGGCTTCTACAGGAGCAGCTGACAATCAGCTTGCTTCAGGATGAACCTCTCAGGTTCAGGATGATCAGGATGATCCTCTCAGCTTGCTGCAGGAAGAATCCATAGCACAAGACAGCAGGAGACAACAGGGACTCAGGATGCAGAGAAGAAAGCAGGACAGGCAGAAGACATCAGCTGGCCATGTTTCCCTCCCTCCTTTGCAGGAGGGCAGCAGGGTGCTCAACCCAGCTGGAAACGCTGGCCAGCAGCTCCATCCTCAGTCCAGCACCTGCTTTGGGCTTCCTGGTCGAGGCACTCCCTGA